GCGGTCGGCGCCAGCCCACGGTGGCTGACACGGCGGAGCGCAGCCAGGTTCTGGGTTCCTCATGAACACCGACCACCTTTGTTCTTCAGCATGAAGAACATATGAGAGGAAAATGTTGAAGGAGGGAGGGGTGTTCTTGCGTGAGAAGAGAAAATGAGTGAAATTAAAAATTTTGAATTTTATAATTGGCCTGTGGACTAAGTCCGCGCGACCCGACCCTGGAGCTAAGGATCCGCGTGTTTTCATTTTAAATTGGGTAAACTTCACTTTTAGTCCCTATAATATTAAATGCCCTTTTTGACCCTAAAATCGATTTTTAAACTCTAATTTTCATTCTAATTTGGCCACTCAATTCGTATTTCTTTTCAATTTAGCCCCCCCTTGATTCGATTTTAAATCCAATTTCTTCCTAATTTGGTCACCTAATTTTCTTTTTAATTTAATTTGACCCTTATGTTATTATTTTTATTATTTTATTACATATACGTTTTTATATACCTATTATTTAATATGTATATATATATATTAATTATTTTTATTTCAATGTTTTTTTGGTATACATGCTTAAAGTTATTATATATATATATATATTTAACTATTATTATTAACGTATGTATATATATATATATTTTTTTTCCTTTATTATTTTTTATCATTACATATATATATATATATATTTTTTTTATATTCATTTTATTTATTTTATTTATTTTGTTTGTTTCATTTATTTTATTTTTACCTTTATGGCGTTTACTCAATTTTTCCTTTCTAGTTTTTATTTAGTATATATATATATATATATATATATATTTTTTCTTTTCCTTTATTATATTCATCTTATTTTTTTATTGCCTTTATCTTATCTTGTTCTTCTAATTTGTTTTCTTTTAATTTTTTATCTTATTTATTTTGTCACACTTTCTTTCCTTCTAACAATCTCTACTTTTTAAGGATGTATTTCACTCAATCAGTGTAAGTAATTCATGATCAATTTTCCTTTTAATTTAAAATTACAATTTTCTTAATTTAAGACAAATGGAAATTACGTAGTACCGAAAGGGCAGTTCAAGGGTGCTAACCCTTCATTGACTGTAACCGATTCCTGAATCCGACACGTTTCTAGTACAACGCAGATAAGGTAAGATGATGTCCAACCCACCTAAATTCGTTTTAAAGTGGTCGGTGACTCCAATCCACATTTTTCAAGTCGAAGCCCAATTCGGGGCCCAACCGAAAGACGGTTACGACAATATGTTCAATTCAGTTTTTTAGTTTTGATTGATTAGAATATATATTTTGAAACAAATTAATTCATATTTTGGCTAAGTCTGATATTTTAGTAGATTTGTTGAAACAAAATATCGTTAAAGTGACATCTTTTGTGTAGACTAATTTATTTGAAATATTAAGATGATTATGTGTTTCTTGTAATTCATGCGTTTATTAATTGACCCAAAGAAAAGTTAATATTTAGTCGGATTTCAAGCGACACATGTGGTAATAACAAGTGACAATTATAAGGTATTTATTTTATGTGAGTATTACATTAGTCTGAAGATTAGTCTTTTGTTTGACATAACTTATTGTCAATGTATGATTACCACAACAAGAGTACCGTTACTGTTAATATTATTGTCCAAAAACTTGATATTGATGTAGTGTTTGGTATCTTGTGAGCCATAATTTTGAATTTATTTATTTACTTAAGATGTGAGCTTTAATTTATTTATATTTTGTTATATATTTAAATGATTTATTTATTTGCTACTATAATATATGCTTTATGGAAAAATGCACTTAGGAAAGTGAATATTAATGACTGAAAAAATGCACTTACATAAGGTTTTGCTTGTATGAACATAGACATTGCGCTAAAGAAAGAACAATTTTCGCCTCTCATGGGATAACATTCTTAATTCGTGTAAGGGATTTTAAGAGGTGAAATTTGTTTAAATTGCATAATTCTAGTGGTCACGAGACACAACATTTTAGAAGCCTTTAGAGGCACATAATCTAAAAAGATTACTTAGGCTAATGATTTCCTTGATGAAATTGAGAAATATTTTTTTTCAAAAAAATAAGGTTTAAATGACATCATTTTTTTACTTCTTTGATGTCAATAAGTATAATGATCAAGGAAATGTGAGGGGTACATTATAGATATGTTTCATATTTCAAAACTTAAGGCACTTAAGATCGGAAGAATTACTTGTTATTGTGAATTTAGTATTGTTTCTAATAGAGTTTAATCAACTCAAAGGGAAAATGAACTCTAAATGAGCTCATTTTTCATTGGGTGCAAGAGGAAGAAAGGCTGAAACATAATAAGTCTAAATGTACTCTCTTGAAAAGAGTATATAAAGATAAGAACAAAAACAAAATCAGAATGTAATTGTAAAGGGTCCAGGTTAAAGAGACAACAATATGTTACAAAGGGTTGTTTTCTCTTGAGATAAGTTAAGACATATGAGGAGAAAATGAATTCTACAATAGTAAGCAATTACTTTGGTTATTTGATCAATTTAAGGGGTTATTTTATGATCTCGTAATTAGGAATAATTTAAAGGTGAGATCTATAGCATTATTTTTTAGGATATTGAGTTTGGAGGGAGAAATAAGGTTTAAGGAATTGCTTTTGAGGGGAATTGAATTATAACACAATTCATATTATCACTTTTGATGATATCCATGTGTTCATACATGTCGTTAATCAAGAAGTGAATCTAGAACCTCAACAAGATAATATTGAACAACTCTCCATTTAAGATGAGAAATTGTTATGGAATAACAAACTCAACAGCATCAAAGAACAAGTGTATTTAGGAAATCCACAATATGAGAGAAATATTATTTTGATTATTATGTTTGTGCAAGAAATAAGGATAATAGTAGAATGATGAAAGATGATCTAATCAACTTTCGTCGTAGAAGTTATGACTCTCAAAGGTGGATTAATGTCATGTAAAAAGAGTATAATTTCTATATAAGACAATAAAGTTTGAGGACTTATCCTATTACCTGAAGGTGCAAAGTTGATTGGTTATAAATGAATATTTATAATCAAAGATGGATACAAATGGTGATATTGACAAATATAAGATACATCTTGTATACAAATGATAAACTAAAAAAATGAGGCATTAATTTTGTAGAGACTTTCACTTTGGTTTCATTGAAAGACTCTTTTAGGATAATTATGATATTTTTTGCTCATATTTGATTTTGAGTTACATAAGTTGGATTTCAAAATTGTGTTTATCAATGATAGCATTGGTGAAATATTTTATACAGTCTAGTTAGAAAATTGTATCTAATGATACAAAATTAATTATATGCAAATTAGAGAAATCTATTTATGAGTTTAAGTATGACTTCCGTTTATTGTATAACAAATTTCATCAAGTGATTATCTCATTTTGTTTTGAGATGAATTTGATTAACAATTGTATATATTATAAGTTCAGTGGGAGTAAACCAAATGATACCCCTTATTGCAAAAGGAAACAAGTTTAATCTTGATTAGTGCCCTAAGGATGATTTCGAAACTAAGGAAATGTAAAAGGTCCCTTATGCTTAAAAATTAATAAAAAATTTAATGTATACTCAAGTTTATACGCATTTAAACATAGCGTCTGATTTTATGATATTAAGCAAATGTTTAAGCAATTTGGGTATGGATCATTAGATAGCAACCAAATTGATTCATACAATATATTTAAGAACAAAAATGTTACATGCTCATATATTGGAGGTCTAATAAGTAAGAGATCATCAGGTTTATAGGTTCCGACTTATTGGAATATAGATGTAAAATTTTGTCATATGAACTGCTAATTGTGCATTAATAAGAAAGACCACTTGAGTTATTTTGTGACAACTAAGTTATAGTCCTTTATTCCATATATAACATAAACACCTTAAGTCTAAGAACATAGCCATTATGTTTTTGTTTGTTAAAGAAAATTCAAAGTGATTATATGTTTATAGATCATGTTGATGTTGGTATAAACTCATAACTCGCTTACTAAAGAACTGTCACCCAACTCGCTTACTAAAGAACTGTCACCCAAGGTCTTTTATGAGAACACTACTTATGTGGGTGTAATATCATTTAAGGATATTCAATTTTAGTGGGAGTTTATAATTTTAATGCTCGTTATTTATAGACACAATTTCAGTTAATTCAGTTTAAGGATATTATGTTAAAGCTATTTACCCATAAATGAAGTTGTTTTGGTTTATCCACTCTGGTTATAGTAAAATTTGATCTCACTAATATTTAAAGAGGACCAGTTGGAAATAGACATGTATGGTTCACATTGCATGTAATTTCCATGCTACACTCTATGATTGATCTATGTCATTTAACTGTGTTTGTATACGTGACCACTGATGGATCAAGTCAAGATTAATACGACGAAGGCCGCTTTGATCCTACATGAATATAGTTGATGGACAAGATTGTTTTAGAATACTTATTATATGATACAAAATTTGAGCTCTTAAGGTTGTACATTTTTCATGAAAAATATGTTGCCCTAGTGGGAGTAAAATCCATATTTGTGGGCACATATGTATAATGTACAATGTTATCATAAAATATGACACAAAATTAAGTGACCAATTATGTTACATGTGTTATATGTATTAAAGTGTCATGTAATAAAAGTGTAGATACCATAAGTTGTATTTATAATTTGATGATGGACATAATTATAAATACTTAAAATATTGACCTAATATTAAATCTATATAAAGAGGTAGTGGTCCCCAAGAAATATGTTAACTTGTATTACTCTTATCTCGTCAAAGAGTTTTTACGGCAAGAGAAAACATATCTTCATGAAAGATCAAAACCAAAGAAAGCCTCAAAGATTTCAACCTATCAATTAATTCATTCAGGTACGCTTCCGTAAATCTAATATTTTATTCTAGATGGTTTGACATGATTAGATCCTGGTTAATTATATTTTTATTATGGTTATAAGTTTTAACATATATATAACAAAAACTTGATCCTACCATTAAACATTACATGAGCACCATTATACCAAGATGCCCACTGATTAGTTTGGTTAATGCATGCCCATTTAAACAAACAAGTACGATGCATATAAGTGGTACCATAAGCCTGCTTACAACACTTCAGAAAGATAAAATGCAGTTCTACCAAATTATTCTGATGCAAAAATCATCTTCGGCACGAGTATGATAGCACCCGAATTTCAGCTCGATAACGATTCCTGACAGAATCAAGTGTTTACTTCGTTTGTTCCGAATTCAGATGAATCCATTGAGTTGATGTTGATGTTCTGTTTTGGTGTCTCCTCTTTCACTTCGTTTTTCTCGAATTCAGAGGCATCAATTGTGTTCTTGTTGATAATATGTTTTCGCTCTTCATCATCGACCTTCATTGTTTCTTCAACGCTTCCCACTTCATCATGTTCTCCATTGCAGATGCCTCCCTTGCTTGGAACCAGAATATCTGCAATCCACTTGTGTAATTGCTCGGTCGATGTCTCATCTACGTGCAGAGATGGATCGAGTAAGTGTTAGATACCCCAAGATTTGTTTCAAGATTTAAAACAATTTGGAAATGGAGATCCCAACACAGTGAATATGAAAATGAAGAAGCCAACAAGTTGCGAGCATCGGACGTGGCGTACATACCCAACCTAGGGACGGTGTGGCCTTGGGGATGCCTTATGATGAGAGGATCATGGAAGGCATTGGCCAGCTCCTCCGAAGGCAACTTTAACCAGTCCTTAGCTCCGATGAAGTGCACCGATTTAGTCTCAATTTTGTCTTTGTAGGCCACTTCGCATATGCTTGGATCTCTGAACTTCGATCCGGATATCGATACAAACATTTTGAAGGGTGGATGCTCCTTTAACACCTTCCCCTGCGTATTTTGCCACAAGCTTTTACATGATTAATAGGCCAAGTTCCAGCTTTTGGAAATGAAGGAAAATTAAAAGTTACCTGTGCCTTGTAACCCAAAAGAAGAGCACAAAGAGTTGCACCCTGAAACAGGGACGGCACCTAATCAATAGAAGCCAAAAGTGGAAAAATGGAAGTTGAGTTTAAGGAAGAATACTTGAGAAAAGCCGAGCAAGCCATGGAAAGGGCCTTTGTGGGTGATATACTGACACAAGTAAGAGATGCATTCCTCAAGGTTTGTGTACTCTGTGAAATCCTTGTCGAACTGGAACCACTCGAAGTACGGAGGAGGGAATATCTCCTCTATATCCGACTTCCCTCCCGCACCATATAACCCGTTTGGATAATCCTGCATTTTTACATTTATATTTTCCGATGGATCGAGAGGGTTAACGACGGCCATCGTTCCACTAAAAATTTAGAGTTAATTGTATTATATGTCTTCAAATTATGATCCTCATTTCAAATTAGTCCATAAATTTTTAAACATTCCAATTTCATCCTCAAACTATGACTCTCATTCTAAATTTGTCCTTAAACTTTTGAACATTCCAATTTTATCCTCAAACTATGAATCTCATTGTAAATTTGTCCATAAACTTTTATATCTTCTCATTTCATCCCCAAACTCATCCAAATATGTAATACATTTCGACCATAGTTTAACCTAATTTTTTTTTCAAACATGTAATAATATAACTTAGTCTAATGATTTTATTAACATGAGATGTGATTAGTGTATACGTATAATTTAGGATAAAATTGAAATATTCAAAAAGTTTGGGGACTAATTTATAATGCAAATCACAATTTGAAGATGAAAACGAAATGTTCAAAAGTTTAAGGACTAATTTAGAATGATTGTAATAGTTTAAGGATAAAAAAAATGTTTAAAAGTTTAGGGATCAATTTGAAATGAAGGTCATAGATTGAGGACATATGATACAATTAACTAAAAAATTATAATTTATGTATTTTTTATATTTTCTATTGATAATTTGTTTCTTCTCCTCTTAAAATTTTATTAGTTTGTTTTCCCTCAAATCAGCGTAATATCAAAATTAGATCCCTAACATTTACCAAAATTATAATTTTGGTTTATATTCATTTTTTGGAGTATTTTGATCTTAATGTTTGATTTTGGGATAAATAGAAACCATTAGTTAACAAACGGTTAACGCTATAAAATATAGGATTTTTATCTTAAAATGAAACGTTAGGGAGCCAAAATACTCCAGAATAAAAGAATAAGGGTTAAAGTGATTATTTAATTAAACAATAAGAGTCTTTTTTATCCTAAAACGAGATATTTGGATCAAAATGCTCAAAAAAAAAATATAGAGGCCAAAATGATCATTCTGGTAAATGTTAGAAGCTAACTTTAACATTACGCCCTCAAAATTTAATAAATTCACCTAACATAAAATTATGTGTTTCTTGATTACTAGGGGTGTTCATGGTCGGTTAACCTATCGTTTAATCTAAACATGTGATTAATTGTTATATCAGTTATTAAATTTTTGTTAATCATAACCTAACCATTAAGAAACAGTTAGCGGTTTGGTTATAAGGTAACCTTTGATTAACCTATTACAATTTTTTTAAACATAATACAATTTAAAATTTTTAAATTTTCATAAAAGTTACGAGGATGGAAAAACATATATTTGTAAAAATCTTATTTATTTATAAATGCATTTTATTTTATAAATATATATATTGTGAGGTATATTCATTTTTTTACAGTTTAAAATCTTGTGTGTATATTTATATTTTGTAATTTAAAACATGAATTTCTTCCATCTATGTTTGATTTAATGTGATCCTATATAAGATAAACATGATAATTAAAAAATAGGAGGAATAATTTTGATTTTATTTTCAATTCCATTCTCTATAAAATATAATTAATTAATTATAATTTATTAACGATTCACTGATGGTTAACCATTTATTAAAATTCATTAACCATAACCGCTAATCGATATTTTAGCGGTTCGGTTAACCAAAACCTTTTAATCTTAACGATTCGATTAGCTAACTTATAAAATAACGGTTACATTGATTAATGGTTACAGTTAACGGTAACGGATTAATAACACCCCTATTAATTACATCATCTTAACTTAATAATGCAGAAATCCAAGAGAAATTGAGACATGCAATAATTTATGGAAAATGATGAGGTATTATGATAGTGGTGCATACCAAGTGAAAGTGATGAAGGAAAAGAGAAGGATGCCACTTGCTGAGCTGATTCTGCAGGAACTTCCCACTGGTTCTAAACCCATGGAGGCATAATATCTTCATTCTCTTCTGGTTTTTCTCTTCCATTTTTGTCCTCTACTATGAGTAATTGGACTTCCATTTATAGTGAGAGTAATGCTTTGTTCATTACTATTCCTACCTACCACACTTCCATGGTTAGGTATAGCTAATTAGCAGTTTGTACATTGCCTTGTTTGGTGCTCAACGTGTCAATATAAATGCCATTTCTTTTTGTTACTCAACCAACTCTTTCTATTTCTAAATAAATCTCAACCATATTCTATAGTTTTTATTTAATGTGAAACATGATACTTTATGTTTGGTTTTATAGATTTATATATATAAAAGTTTTGAGCTCATTAAGTGATCTCAATGGTAAAAGAGAACATTGTTCTCCTTAGAGGTTTCGCGTTCGAGCAATTGTGTTTTAAATTTTTTTTGAACATATATTACCTTATAATCAACCCAAACTATTCAATGAAGTTTTAACATAATTTTCACGCATCCTTGCTGAAATTATACTATTTTAGGGTTACATATATTTTCATATAAATGTCAACTTTTTTTCGGTCAATGTCTATAATCACCAACGTTATAATTTGTTATGAATCTTAACCATCGGCTTAACAAATTATACACCCTCACTCTTTACTATCCTTTATACCATGCAAGCCTTAATGTTTACTCTTCGCAATGGAAAACAATATTTGACTCGTGCAAATAAGACGAACCCCTTCAAAATATCCTCTTTTTTTTTAAAAAAAAAAAAAAAACTCTTTGTATTGAGTCATTTAAAGTCCAAACACAGCAGGTTTCTATTTTTCAGACCAAAAAGAGAAAAGACAATCAAGAAGCCCATTTCGGGAAGTTGATTCTGTTATTATTCGTCTACAAATCTTCTTTGGTATTTAAGAAGGTTGGTACCTTCTTTAAGCTGTAGGGCCTTCTTTAAGCTGTAGGGGTAATCTCTCAGATGGACCGCATGGAAGGGGGTCCAGTTCGATCCTGCTTTTGAGTTCTCTTACTATCCGAATTTGCCCCAGCTTTTTTAGATGCCTGCATAGAAAATAATAGTTATATACTAATTCTAATATCCTATGGCTGATGGTCATGGATAATGGCCAAGGAATTCTTATATTCAGGTTGGCAAAGCAACAAAACCAAACTTGCATTCTAATTCCCCCAAACTTTTATCCCTATATTTTATACCGAAATGTATGCATGTAATGGCACTGGCTTTAATGTTTGGAATCAGGCGAGATCTCTAGTGGCTTTTGATAAATATTTAATACAGAGCCAAAATTACTAAATGGTGGAATTTAGTTCAGATGCTTTCTGCAAATTTCCTCCGGGAAAATTAATATAGAATAATGGAATAAAAGATGCATTCATCATAAGTGAACAACCAATGATTTTCTGGGCAAAATAAGCTAAGGGTTTTCAAAGTTACTAGGGTTTATTAAAAAATAAGTTCCTAAATTATACCAGATTTTTCATCCAAGTATCTAAAGTATTTTTTGTCGAAGTACCTAAAGTTACCACCTTTTTACTTTAGGTACCTAAAGTATTTTTTTGGTCAAAATAAACACCTAAAGTATACCACTTTCTTCATCTGGGCACCTAAAATATTTTTTTAATCAATGCCACATGTCAACTTTTAGGAACCTAGATGAAAAAGATGGTATACTTTTAAGTATTTATTTTGAATAAAAAAATACTTTAGGTACCTAGATGAAAAATGTGATAACTTTGGGTACTTGGACCAAAAAAATACTTCATATATTGAGATTAAAAAGGTGGTATACATTAGATATTTATTTTTGAAATAAGCCAATTTATTACCTTGGGAAATAAATCATGGCAATGCTAAAGACTAAAATCAAGGATTAAACGAGACTTTTCACTAACCTTGAGGCTTTGGAATTGATGTATTAGTGAAAATAACTTGAGTAGGAGTACATATGATGTCAACGGGGACATCATGATCCAGCAGTTTCTCAACTGGAAAATCATCTACCAACTGACAGTCATGCACTGTAACAACAGACTGAATCCAGTTATCCAGGTGTGGAAATTGTAAGATAAAATCTAACAGGCAGGGGTAAGCCAAGTAATATTGCTTTTTAAGAGCTCAGCGGTTATGAAGGAGCTTCACTGCTTTATAACTAACCAAAGCTACGTTTGACAATAGAGACATGAGTGAGAAAGGTAGAGAGAGAAGTAGAGAGCGGGTGACAGGTCGTTCTTCTTCCGATAAAGAATGGACTGTTTTCGTAGACAATCTTAGTAAGAGAGTTACTAGAAGAGAGTTAAGAGAGATCTTCGATATTTATGGTCGTGTTTTAAGGGTCTATATTCCAAGTTTTATGGTGAAACCAAATTATAAGTCATCAACGTTTGCCTTTGTGCAATATGCGATGGAGGAAGGTTGTAGAAGAGCGATTCAGAACGTCAATGGAACGCTGATAGATGGGAAGAGAGTCTCAGTGGGGGTTGCAAAGTATCAGAAGGAAAGGAGAAGAGCAACTGATGACAAAAAGTTCCAGGTGAAAGGCAACAAGCATGTGCGAGGGGAGGAAGGTAGGCAGCAGGTGGTAATGGAAAGCCGAGCAGCCCGAGGGATGGCAGAACGTATAAGGAGGTGGTGAATGTAGAGGTAAGAGCGGAGCACGATAGAGCGGGAATTAAGGGAGGACAAATTTGAAAGCAAATGGGCTAAGGAACGTATGGGATATGCACATTCCTTCTGAAGATTCAAGTTGGGTGAAGAATTCTTTAACGGGGGTTTTGAAATATCCCCGTCAGTCTGATATGGTGAAAAAGGCCCTGGCGAAGGAGGGTTATGAGGTCAAATAGTAAGCTGGGGTTATGTTAAGAATGCTTGTATCGTTATATTCAGTTCTAATGAAGATTTCTTAAAGGCTTGGTCGTACAGTAGAGAGAAGTTGTTCCTCTGGTTTAAGTGGTTATCTCCATTGTTAAACGAAGAAGGAGTTCCACTGGCGTACTGCTTGGTAGAGTTGGTGGGGCTACCATTTCTTAGTTGGTCTGCACCTTTTCTGGAGAAACTTGCAGGAATGTGGGGAGAGCTTGTGAGTATCATGGAGGAGACAAGGAATAGAGATGATCTTTCTTCAGCGAGATTACTGTTAAGGGTAGCAAGTCCTTTTGATATACCCGAATATACTTATGTAGGGTCATATGGAAGATCTTTTAAAGTCATAATAAATACGGGACAGAAGTGCAACAATTTCCAAGCTGGAATCGGAGAGGAGCTGCAGAAGTATTTTGATGATGGGAGTAGTGATGATTTTTCGAAGGAGGATGAAGGAGTCAACTCAGAGAAGGAAGAAGACAAGTGGGAGAAGTCAGCAGAGGAAGTAGGGTCAAAGGTGGACACGTGGTTACAGCAGGGTCAAGAAAGTGGGAGGTTAAAAGGTGGCGGGGAACAATCTCTGAAACATAAGTCCCACACGAAACCTATCATTAATGGGTTGTCAGAAAATTTTGAATTTGAATTTGAGTCTAATTCCTATAGAGATTTTGCGGGGCTAGGGCTGCGAAAGGAAGTGGATCAATTACATCCAGCCCAATCTGATTCTAATGGGGAATCATCTTCTCCAGTCTCTAAAATAATTCCTGCTGGGCCTGCTGTTAAAATTAAGTGGGATGGGCTGGATAAACAAAATAAGTTCCAGTCTCTTTATGATTTAATGGAGGATGATAGTTGCAATATTCCAGAAGAGGATAATGGGGAAGGCCAGGGTGATGAAATTTCTGCTCGTGGTAAGATAGCAGAAGGAAGTTTCATGCAGGAGGATAATAATGGAGGATTTATGAAGAGCTCTAAAAGTTGGAAAATGGGACATTCAAATTATGCTTGTCTGTCAATTAGAAGTGCACCCGGTGGTAGGAGAGAAAGAGGTCGATATGCTAGAGTCTATAGAAGGTCAAGAAATAGACGAATTTGGTTAGATGCAAATAACGAAACAGAATTATTTTGTTCAGAGGTTAATCTGAATCAAGGACAGAAGGCAAATGAAAGCAGATATTTTCAGCAGAATTTTTCAGAATATAGGGGAATTGGTCAGGAAGAGGATATCAATTGTTCATTAGATGTTCCGAAGACTCCGAATGTCCCATTAATTGGCAGTAATCATTCAGAGAGTCTGGCAGCAGCTCCTTACACTGCTTCAGGGTCTCGATTTAATAAAAGAAGGAAGAGAAGAGCTCTAATCAGTGAAGCTTTGGAAATGGTGAATATTTCTACTGCTTCTTCATCTCTTTTCTCGAAGCTGGTAGAGGAAGCAATGGCCACATGGGAAGTGTGTCAGATGTTAGGTATTTCTTTTAAGGAAGGGAGGAAGGCTTTTATTGATAAAATTGTGAGTCTTGAAAAGGGTTTGGAGGTAGGAAGGGAAGGGTGATATGCTGGTTTGCAGGGTATATTTTGGTGTTTGGTTTTGAAGTCAGTATATGCAGAAATTTAGTATCCTTACTTGGAACATTAGAGGTTTAGGGAGGAAGGAAAATCTTTAGCAGTGGCAAGGCAAGTTAAGAAGTTAAAACCTGTTATGATTTTTATTCAAGAATCTAAACTTGACCAGTGTCATGCGTCGATCTTAAGGAGGATTGGAGGAAATTTGCTGAAGGGAGTGGTGGTTTCTCCTGCACAGGGGTCTAAGGGTGGTTTGATTAGTATGTGGAATGAAAACGTTTTCAATGTCACTATCCAGCATGTTCATAGTAGGTTTATAGCATTAGTGGGGAATTTTTTGAATGGCCAAAAGGAGTTTGTCTTCATTAATGTCTATGGACCTGTTATTGAAGCTGATAAGGAGGAATTCTTTGGGGAGCTGCTGAGTTATGTTAGTTTGACGAATTTGCCAGTTTGTATTGGGGGTGATTTCAATGTGTATCTTGTTCCGGAAGAAAAGCAAGGGAGATCACAAATTGGCATGCTATTGAAACTCTTAGATCATTTATACAACAAGCTAACCTTATGGATCTGCCTATGTCAGGAGGAACTTTCACCTGGTGCAGTAATAGAGAGTTGTCAACATGGGTTAGACTAGATCGATTTCTAATTTGTGGCAGATTTTTGAACAGCTTTCCTAGGATTTCACAATGCCTTTTACCAAAATCAATTTCAGATCATAATCCGGTCTTGCTGGAGGATGTTAGTCACAATTGGGGCCCCAAACCCTTTAGGCTATTTAATTTTCTGTTAGAGGAGAAAGGGTTTGATGATTTGGTTGAAGGTTGTGTGGTTGATGAGAAGAAGAAGAGGAATAGAGGGGGGATTTTCAGGTTGTTACAAAACGCGAAGAAGAAGATCAGAAATTGGCCTGGCAGCAGTCATTTAGGGCTATCAGACTCCATTTCGCTGCTTGAAGTTAAAATAAATGAATTGGATTTAAAGTCACAAGGTGGAATGTTATCTAAGGGGGAATGGGATCAGTTGATTGAATTCAAAAATGAGCTGTGGAGATTGTTAAGGATCGAAGAAAGCATTTGGTGGCAGAATTCAAGAAATAGATGGATCAAAAACGGAGACAAAAATACGAGGTTTTTTCACCTTACTGCTATGAAAAGAAATAGTGTTAACACTATTCATTCTCTGAAAATTGAAGGGGTGGTAATTTCGGATCCAGTTAAGATAAAAAACAGTGTTTATGAGTTTTTCAGGACTGCATACAACACAAAAGCGGCTTTTGAGGTTGAGGGTCTAGATTTTGATTTTATGAAAATATCAGCAGTTCAAAGGATTTATCTGGAGGAGGAATTTACAGAGCAAGAAGTGTGGAATGCAATTTCTTCTTCTGATAGTGCTAAAGCTCCCGGTCCGGATGGTTTTACCATGGGTTTTTATAAGAAATACTGGAATCATTTGAAGGAGCAGATTATGGAGTTTGTTTCAGATTTCTTTGAAGGAAAGGAGTGGGTACACGGGGTTAACCACGCTTTTATTACCTTGATCCCAAAGAAAGGTAATCCGGAGAGTATAGAAGACTATAGACCCATTAGTCTTGTGGGCAGCCTATATAAATTCTATCAAAAGTACTTTCAAAGAGACTTATTTCTTGTGTCAAAGATATTATCAGTCCTAATCAGTTTGCATTTATTCCGGGGAGACAATTGTTGGAATGTGTTTGTGTGGCCAATGAAGGAATTGACAGTTGGAGGAAACAAGGGCTTAAAGGGGTTGTCTTTAAAGTAGACTTCAGCAGAGCGTATGACACAGTGGAATGGCAGATTGTTATAAGATTATTGAAAGAGATGGGTTTTGGTGATAGGTGGTGTTCTTGGATCACACAATGTATTTCCACAGCTTCTATATCGGTCCTAGTCAATGGGTCCCCTACAGAAGAATTTCTTATTGATAAAGGATTAAGGCAAGGATGTAGCCTCTCTCCTATTCTGTTCAATGTTGTTGGGGAATTGCTTCACAAGATGCTTTCAAAAGCAGTGGTTTTGGGTCTGTTTCAAGGGTTTTCGTTCGGCAATGATCAAAACTCCTTTAATTTATCACACCTTCAGTTCGCGGACGATTTAATTATATTCTGTCGAGCCTCTATTACCCAGATCAAGAATGTTAGAAGAGTTTTGAGGATTTTTGGCCTAAGACGGGGCTCCATCTCAATTTAGCCAAAAGTAAACTTTATGGTATTAATATGGAGAATGACTTACTTGAAGAATGGGCGAGGGATATTGGCTGTTCTATTGGCTCTTTCCCGACAGTTTATTTAGGCCTCCCTTTGGGGGCAAAAAAGAATTCAGAGAAGTTGTGGGAGCCGGTCATAGAGAACTTTAGTAGAAAATTGGTGGGGTGGAAAGCTTCATCTTTATCCATGGCTGGCAGATTGGTGCTTATAAAGTCGGTACTTTCATCTTTACCCATTTTTTACCTATCTATTTTCAAGATGCCATCTACTATTTCTCAACAGTTAAATTCTTTGATGTCGAATTTCTTTGGGGTGGAGGGGGTGAGAAAAAGAGAATGCATTGGGTTAGTTGGAAAAAGATTTGTAAGCCGTTGAGTGGTGGAGGTTTAGGAGTTGTTGATTTGAATCTTACCAATCGAGCGTTGTTGGGGAAGTGGGTATGGAAGTTTGCAAATGAGAAAGACTCGATATGGAAGAAATTCTTTTGTTGTAAACATAATGTGAGTTGTCATTCCTTGGATATCACTAAGGCCCTATCTCATAAAGACTCGTGGATTTGGAGGGGAATTGTCAATAACTTCTCAAAGAATGACTTCATTGGAGGGTGCCTTAGATCTCATGCAAAAATTCAAATAGGGAATGGAGAATCTGTCTCTTTTTGGAAGGATACTTGGCTTGGGGATTGTCCATTAAAAATACTTTTTCCTAGGATTTTTGCACTTTCTACTAACAAAGGTGGCAATGTGGCTGCTTTTGGTAGTTTGATTTGAATGGATGGGAGTGGAATATTAAAACAAGGAGGAATCTTTGTGATTGGGAAGTGTTGCAGTTGGTTGAATTATTGAACAGCCTTAAAGACATTAAACTGATTGAATCTTTGGAGGATTGCCTGCTGTGGGATGGCTTGGGGGACGGGCTGTTTTCTGTCAAAGAGTGCAGGAAATCTCTAGAGTCTGTTTATGAGGATACATTTCAGTGGAGAAACTGTGTTTGGCTGGGATTAGTCCCTCCTAGAGTGGAGACTTTCCTTTGGCAGCTATCTCATCAAAAAGTTGCTGTTAGAATGGAATTGATGAAAAGGGGGGTTACTTTAGGGGAGGATACTCTCTGCCCTTTTTGCAATCTATGTGAAGAATCTGTCCAGCATCTTTTTTGTTCTGTCAGGTTTCGTGGGAGCTGTGGAATAAATTAATTTGTTATTGGGGTATTAGTTTAGCTTTTCCACTTGACCCTCCTTCCTTACTTAGTTCTTGGTCTGATTTGAGGCCTTCTTCGGTTATTTGGAAGTTTATTCCGGGTGTAGTGCTATGGTCAATTTGGAGAATCAGAAATGATATTATCTTTGATAATGGTAAACTGGACAAGCTTTCATTGTTTTTCACTGTTCGCTTAAGGCTAGCAAGATGGTTTCTAGCAAATATCCTCTTTCCTATATTAAGGTGGATTCTTTAATTGGTGATCCTTCCTTGGCAGATAGTATCTCTGCCCCTAAGGAACTTCACAGATCAGGGTGCGGGTGGATTCCTCCTCCAGTTGATTTTTTTAAATTCAATGTGGATGGGGCTTGTAGTAGAGTTGGGAGAGTGGCTGGAATAGGGGGTCTTCTCAGGGATTGGAATCGGGTTACACTCATCTCTTTTTCAGAAAATGTTGGTCCTTCTTATCCCTATTTAGCAGAATTGAAAGCTGTAAGAAGAGGCATTGATATCTTTGTTTCTTCAGAATGGTTGTTGAAGGGCAGACTCATTATTGAATGTGATTGCAAGCTGGTCGTGGATTGGATCAAAGATCAAGCTTTGGTTCCTATTTCCCTTTCGAATTTTGTTAAGGAAATTGTATCTATTGTTTCTTTTAGAAATTTTATTGTCAGGTGGATTCCAAGGTCTTGTAATTGCGAGGCTGACAAGCTAGCAAAAGAGGGGATCGGGTGATTTTTTTGTCTGTTTCAGTTGGTGTCTGTTTCTGAGCTTAGAAGCTAGAGGAGTGTGTGAAGTCTTATGTTGTTTGTAAAAGTGTTTTTAAGTCTTATGTAACTTGGCTTTCATTAATAAATTGAGGTACTCTTTTCCTCCTTCCGCTAGTTGGGTCTTACCTTATGGGTAAGATCCTCTAAGAGGGAGGTTTTTAATGAGACCTCCTATTCCTATCAAAAAAAAAAAAGCTACGTTTGACAAATTACAACAGATATTCTCTATTCAGTGTGTGAAGAAAATCTCATAATCTAAAAGCTAAGTTGATAATAATTTACTACAAAGCGATAGAAGCAAAGGTCAGAGAAAAAAACTATATAAACTGGGTCCAAAAATAACATGTGATGCTATTGGAACTAGAGTTAGAATTCATATTATTATTTTCTCTTAAGATGCCACTTCAATTTTTTAACTACAGAGGATAGATTGCGTACAAGGACGTTCGCAGTCCAATCACCTAAGATCATCCATCAAACAACAGGCAGAGGTAAGCAACACTCAACTCAACTTGAAAAAATTTCACATTTGAGTTGATTTATAAAATAGAATTTGAATAACTCAAACTTTTTAATAATTAGTTGATTGATTTTCAAGTTTAAGTTGAGTTCCTCAACTGTGTATGATATATGTATTTTATATGGTTATAGAAAATCGTTTAAATTGAAATCAAATAGTACCATAATATTATAAATATTTACAATTAAATTTAAACAGAAACTTAAACAACTTGATTTGAATTTTATAAATTCAACTCGACTCGAAAAAAATTCAAATAAAGTTTGAGTTATAAAATAAGACTCGTCAACTCGAATAACTCGAAAATTTTTTACTCGACTCAATCGAACGCTCACCCCTACTAACATGTAATAAAGAAAAACCTAACGGATATCACATATGTAATTGTTCAATGAGCTACACGTCTACAGTTAAAAAAATGACAGCCAGTGAAAGAAATTCACCTGTCAATAAATTTTGAGTGCTAGAGAGTAAATATACCTAAACATTTCAATTAATTAAATTTCAAATTCAAATCATTATCATGGGGTTTGAGAATGTTAAAACTCTTGAATCTATATATATATATATATATATATATATATTTGAGTATATATATATATATATATTTGAGTTGTGGTCTAAAACAGTTGCAATAGACTACTGGCTTCCTGTTGCAAGTTCAACGGTGAGCACTAATGTATAACCATACCAGTTTAAATGGAAAGAGATTCCTGTTATAAATTCCTTCTTTAGTGAAAAATAGGTGAGTTGTGTACCTGAGGTAACCACCGGTGTTGAATCATCAATGGCCCCCATATACTTCAGCATGCCATATTCAAGTTCAGCAAATCCCTGCTGCCAAGTCTTAGTTTCTCTTAAATCAAGAAAAAATCATATGGTTTCTGATAATCAAATATCTCAAGACCAGTATACCCTACAACAAAACCAAAAATATCAGTTCTAGACTCAAAATGAAAGCATTCGAATCTGCAATTTAAATCTCAACATATTTATACACCAAAACATTAGATCAAATTTCCAATGCACACACCCCAAAAAGAAAGCAGTTTCCTCGATCAGGCATCGGCTGATTGATTTGTAAAATGTACAGTTTCAATTAGTAACAGCAGTTTGGAAAGGGTAATACACTAAAGAAGTACTCTCAGTAGGTTAATAAGGATAGAATTTTTCATTCGTACAATGTTTAAGCGCCAACACAATGTTGAATAACAAGACAACAAGAAAATTTTGGTTAATATGTTCAACTTGTAGAAAAATAAATTGTGTTATGAGAAACCAAGAAAATAAGCAACAGAAAGTGCCAGTTTCTGCAAACTATTAGTGCTTAAAACTGATTGAAAGGGTTCATTATCCACTGATTGTTGACTATCAGATAAGATAACACGACAGGAAAATTGGGGTATAACTAGAAATTAATATTTTGTATTTTCCATTGTGGTAGAAGACAAAAAAATATGTTCTTAGATCCCATTTTCCTCTACCATCAACCTTACACTTACAGGTACAGGATGACCAAAAAAGTAAAGCAGCAAGATAGAATGGATCCTTAGAATGGATCCTTACCTCTCCCTTGCCAAGTCGAGCCCCAGTTTTGGGATCTACAGCAACTGAACCAATGACAATTACATCTACCTTGATCTTTTCATCCAATCCAATTGGCCTTCCATACTTTGCAACCCCTTCAGACGTGCATGCCTCATTGATGGTACTATGATAGAGGACTCGAGTATTGAAAAGAAATCGGTTCTCAAACGGGGTTGCGGAGTAAGTAACTTCTTTCCATCAGTACATACATAAAGTTCATATAATATGCTAAGAATATAGCTGCTCCAGTACCAGAACAAATACGTTCCACGTCATTAAAAGAATGTGGATTAATTTCAAAAGATAACATCCAAGATGCAAACCCAAATAATACTCTCTTGTATGATATCCCCAGCAATCACTAGCACATCAATGAAAACCGGCCTATCTTTTGAAGTGGTGTTGTCCCACATTTTAGGGCTGAACAACAAAATCGAGTAAATCGAAAAATTGACCCGAACTGGATTATATGATTTGGTTCGGTTCCGGTTTTTTTTATAGAAATAGGAGACCTCGTTAACCTCCCTCATAGATAACTCTTTCCTAACATAAAGGATCACTTAGTGGAGGGAGGTGTAGGAATTATAGAGATGATTTGTTACCATTCCTATAGAGATATGATTTGTTACCATTCCTATAGATATATGATTTTGTAAATAGATTTCTACAATCCCTTATTTTAAGGGATCATATCCTAGGATTATTATTTTTCCTTTCTTAGAGTTTCCTACTTTAGAAAGATATTTTGTATATAAATATGTAATCTGTCATAGTGAAAAGAATAAGAAAATACAGAGAATTACTCTGATTTCTATACCATTACTCTGATTTCTACATGGTATCAGAGCATTATAACCAGCAAATTTTTCAATAGGATGTTTGGTGGACTGTCTAATCCCTTTTCTAATAGCAATAGGGAAGTCATCTAGAGTAGTGGAAGTAGACTTACTGATTTCTTCTTCTATTTCGGCAGCTGGACCCAAATCCAATTCTCGGCAAGAATCAGATTGCAAAACAGCCTCAGGAATGTGTTTTCTTTTCCTTGTATAGAAACGGAGTTGTTTGATTGGTGTTGTTTGTGGAAGATTTTGAATGGGAGTAGGTGTATTTTCAGGAAGGATATTTAAAGTGGGTATGGATGAAGTAGTGATAGGAACTACCGATGGATCAATGGGAGTAGTTACAGGTGACAAATATATAGGTAAAGACAAGGATGATGTCAATTCTGAAGGTTGAGAATGAAAAGTGGGTGGAGATACTTGATATGGCTAAAAATCCCTCCATGTCTCCCCCTGAATTTCAGCCTGAATGAAGTAGGGATCCTGCTCATAAAAAGTGATACCATAGAGGTGAAAAATCTTTTAGAAGGAGGATGATAGCATTTAGAACCCTTCTTGAGTGAAGAATACCCAACCAATACACACTTTATAAACTTAGGATCTAACTTGGAATTATTAGTAGCAGTGTTTTGGATAAAACAATACAACCAAATATTTTAAGAGGTAGAATGGAGGATATAGGTTTAAAATGTGGAAAGTATTGCAAAAATATAGATTGAGGTGTTTTAAAGTGTAAAATCTTACTAGGCATTCGGTTGATTAAATATGTGACAGTTAATAAGGCTTTCCCCCACAAATATTTTGGAACATTAGTGGTAAATAGAAGTAAACGAGTAACTTCAAGGAGGTGTCTATTTTTCCTTTCGACAATGCCGTTTTGTTGTGGGGTTCCAACACAAGAACTAAGCTAAACTATACCCTTTTCCCTGAAAAAAGCACCCAAAGACTTAGCAAAAAATTCATTGCCATTATCAGATTTAAAGAGCTGGATTTTGGTTCCAAATTGAGTGAGAACCATGTTATAAAATTGGGCAAAAACACCAACATTTTCGGATTTATCTTTGAGCAAATAAGTCCAAGTTATCCTACTGTGATCATCAATGAAAGTGATAAACCACTTACAATTATCAACATTCTTCACTCGAGAAGGACCCCAAATATCACTGTGGATCAAGGCAAAAGGGTGAGAAGGTTTCTATTTAGAAGGAGAATAAGATGATTTAGTGTGTTTGGCAAGAGAGCAAACTTTGCAAGAAAAAGAAGTTGACTTTTTATTAATGAATAGAGCAGGAAACAACTTTGCAAGATAATGGAAACTAGGATGGCCTAAACGAAAGTGCCATAGCATAACGGTATCATTTTGTTCTAAAGAGGTGAACGATTTAGAGATCTCGGTTGTAGTAGATGAAGGGATGATGTAGAGACCATTCTGCAAGCTGGCATTACCAATCATCTTCGAGTTCAGTGCCTGCAAAGTACAGTCAATATCAATAAAAATTGCAGAGCAGTGCAAGTCGATGGAAAGTTTACGAACTGAAATGAGATTGCAAGCCAGAGTTGGTACAAAGAGAACATTTTTAAGTGTCATATGTTCATTGAGAACCACAGTGCCATGACCTTCTATTTTGCACATGGAACCATCAGCCATTTTGACTGCCTTACCGACGTTTGGGAAAAAATTATAAAACCCCTTGTTACCAGTCATATGATCCGTTGCACCAGAATCGAGGATCCAATTAGGAGTCAACTGAGAAGATAAAAAAGTTGTAGGATAAGGGTTACCTTCTGATTCTTTTATGACCAGATTACTTTCACAAGGCACCTGAAACTTTTCAAACAGTTTCTGAAGTTCAACAATCTGTTCTTTGGTGAAGCGAGTGACAGACTTGGCAGCAACTAGGCTAGATTTATTATCTTGAGAGGTCTTGGACTTCCAATCCTGAGGTTCACCATGAATCTTCCAACACTTCTCTTTGGAGTGGCCGGGTTTTTTGCAATGTTCACACCAAGCTCTCCCCTGTTTCGAAGTATTAGATGATTGATGAGTAAGTAAGGCAGATCCTTCAGGAGTGGAATATGGTTCATCAGGCAGCATCACACACCGACGACTTTCTTCCTTCTTGACAATAGCGAAAGTCTCTCGAAGGGAGGGAAGAGGAGAAATAGTCAGTACTCGGCCACGAACCTCATCTAATTCCCTGTTTAAGCCTTGGAGAAATTGAAAAAGTCTTCGTTGAGTTCAATTTTCTGGTAAAGGGTAGCATCTCTTGGATCTGCCCAATCATGTTGTGCATACAAATCTAATTGTTGCCAAAGGCCGGTTAAGGTATTATAGTAGAGAGTGACAGGCATGGTTCCCTGTTTGAGAGTGGCTGCTTGATCTTCAATGTGATATAACTAGGCAATATTATCAGTGTTGGAGTATGTTTCGCGGACTGCACTCCAGATTTCAGCGGCTGTGTTGTACAGAAGAAAGTTTCTGCTGATACTCGGGATCATTGAATTGAGGAGCCAAGTCATAACTTGACCATTGTCACGCATCCACTTAGAAAAAACATTGTCAGTCGCAGCAGGTTTCTGGATTTCACCAGTAACATAGCCCAATCTTTCTCTGCCTAAGAGAAAAATTTTAACCGATTGGGACCATTCAAGAAAATTGTTGCCATTCAATCGATGGCATGTAATAACCAGACCGGATGATTCTGTTTGAGTGTTAGAATCAGAAAGATTTTCTGGATTTGAAATAATCTCCTGAGTTAACGAAGGAGATGTAGGAGAAGAAGTTGCGGACATGGTCTAGGTTGGAAAGAAACCGTAACCTAAGCAAATAGAATTCTCAAGTACTTGAAGAAAACTCCAGGACACGGTTTAATGTTTAAGAAGACACAAGACAGAACTTTTAAGATCTTTACAGATTCTAGTTGGGCCGAAGACCTTACTGAAAGGAGATCCATTAGTGGCTACTGCACCTTTGTTTGGGGAAACCTTATAACTTGGAGAAGTAAGAAACAATCTGTCGTTTCAAGAAGTAGTGCTGAAGCTGAATTCAGAGCACTAGCATTGGGAATATGCGAAGGAATTTGGCTACTTAAACTACTGAAAGAACTTGTCACTAATCAAGAGGATCACTTTGAAGTTTTGTGTGATAATCAATCTGCTATTCAAATTGCCAAGAACCCAGTTCAACATGATCGGACAAAGCATGTTGAGATTGATAGGCATTTTATTGCTGATCAAGTTAACAAAAAGACAGCCACACTTTCATACATTCCTTCAGAAGAACAAGTTGCAGACATTCTTACTAAGGCTTTGCAAAAGCCTGTTTTCAATAAATTCCTATTCAAGCTGGGATTATACAATGTATATTCTCCAGCTTGAGGGGGAGTGTAGGAATTATAGAGATGATTTGTTACCATTCCTATAGAGATATGATTTGTTACCATTCCTATAGATATATGATTTTGTAAATAGATTTCTATAATCCCTTATTTTAAGAGATCATATCCTAGGATTATTATTTTTCATTTCTTAGAGTTTCTTATTTTAAAGAGATATTTTGTATATAAATATGTAATCTGTCATAGTGAAAAGAATAAGAAATTACAGAGAATTACTCTGATTTCTATACCATTACTCTGATTTCTACAGGAGGAAAAGAGTGCATCATTTTATTACTATACCAGAATTACATAAGACTTAACAATTACACCAGAAGATATTACATAAGACTTAACAACTTCACCTACTTCAAAATCCTACTAACCACATAATAAAACATACAACTAAAATCATACAATCAACCAATTCCCTTCTTGGCTAAACTATCTGCCTCCCCCATTACAAGCCCTTGAAATCAACCCAATTAACACCACCTTTTCAGAAAGGATCATCAAAATTTCTTTAACTAGAGGCAATATAAAAACTGGAGCCAAAGGCGGGGAATGGATCCACTCCACTGCTGACTTACAATCACTCTCGACAACCAACCTACTGACAGCAGACCAGCGTGATGCCAAAAAAATTTCAATGCCCCTTTTAATAGCCTTTAATTCAGCAACTGGTGGGAGACCTTGACCAATACTCTCTGAAAAAGTCAGAAGAGTGCTGCTATTCCAGTCCCTTAAAATGCCTCCAATACCTCCAACCGAGTCATTTAACCTCACAGCTCCATCAACATTCATCTTCAACAAATTAACAGGACGAGGGAGCCAGCAAATCACAGAATAATTCTTAGGTTTAGGAACAGAAATACTATCAGCAAGTGATGGATCCCCAATAAGCAGATCCTCCTGTACAGGGAATTTAGGATACTTGGCTAGGAACCATTTAGATAGCCTAAATCTCACAATGAAAAAGAGAGACAACCTATCAAGGTTTAATCCTTCAAACACAATCGCATTCCTTGTTTCCAAATAGACCAAAAAACGACTCCCGGGATAAACTTCCAAATCAATGAATTCACCCTCAAACTCCCCCTCGAGTTAAGTAAAGAATGAGGGTCATGTGGTAACACTATAGATAAATCCCAGAAGCTTACCACTTTATTCCATAATTCCCAGACTACAAAACACGTAATAAACAAGTGTTGCACTGATTCCTCATGTTCCTTGCAAAAAGGACAGAGGATATCTTCTTCTAAGGACATTCCTCTTTTCGTTAACTCCACTTTAACTGCAACTTTCTGATGAGCTAACTGCCAAAGGAAAGCTTCTACACGAGGCGGGGACAAACCCAGCCACACCCCTTTTGACCACAAATCACTACCCCATCTACTGTTCCAAGAGCTTTCCTGCACAATTTTACTGAGAATAACCCATCACCACTTGCAGACCAAGAGAGAAAATCTTCAACCGAATATGTGAGTTTTATATCCTTTAATTTCACCATCAAATCCATCCATTGATCCACTTCCCAATCAGACAAATTCCTCCTAGTAAGAATGTTCCACACCCAACCATTCAACTCAAAACTTCCAAATTCAGCAACCTTACCCCATTCACCCATGGATCGATCCAAAATGATATGGACTTTCCATTGCCTACTTGCAACTTCGAAAATGATCTAAGACACTCACCCTCCGAATCATTCTTCAAAAAATTATTAGCAATACTTCTCAAATTCCAAGAAGATTTTGGAGAAATGACCTTGCAAATAGACAGTGTTATAACTTATCTTTTGCTTGCTACATAACACTCTTTTCCATAGGGAATCCTTTTCATTTGCAAACTTCCACACCCATTTCCCCAATAATGCCCGATTAGAAAGATTCAAGTCAAGAACTCCAAGGCCACCACAGTTCAAAGGTTTACACATTGTACTCCAGCTAACCCAGTGAATCTTCATCTTTTCCACACTGTCACCCCATAAAAATCTGGCCATTAAAGAATTTAATTTCTTCTCAACTTTGCAAGGCATTTTAAAAAATGATAGGAAAAAAATTGGCAGGGAAGATAGCACAGACTTCAATAGAACCGTCCTGCCAGCCAACGAAAGACAAGAAGCTTTCCACCCAGCTAGTTTGGAGTTAAAATTTTTAAAGACTGAATCCCATAAGGCTTCAAAATTCGTTTTAGCACCGATTGGAAGTCCCAAATATTCTGTGGGAAAACGATCAACAGAACAGCCCACTTCCAGTGCCCAATCTGATAAAATATCCTCATCAACATTAACACCAAAAAGTTTACTCTTCTTTAAGTTTAGATGCAACCCCGCCATTATACTGAAAATCCTCAACACTCTTTTCACATTTTTAATCTGAGAAAGTGAAGCTTGGCAAAAAATGATGAGATCATCAGCAAACTGAAGATGAGATAACCGAAAGGGATCTTCAGAATTCCCAATAACAAACCCTTGGAAAAGACCTTTGTCGACTGCTTTATCAAGCATCAAGTGCAACAACTCACCTACTATATTAAAGAGAAGCGGAGAGAGACTACAACCTTGCCTAAGTCCTTTAGCCATAGGAAACTCTTCTGAGGGTGACCCATTCACAAGAACCGAAATTGAAGCAGAAGAGAGACACTGTGATATCCACGAACACCATCTAATACCAAAGCCCATCTCCTTCATTGCTCTGTTTAAAATTGGCCATTCAACATAGTCGTATGCTTACGAAAGTTAACTTTGAAAACAACCCCTTGTAGTCCTTGTTTTCTCCAAAAATCGATCCCTTTATTTGCAATGAAGGCACAGTCCAACAACTGTCTCCCCGGTATAAAAGCAAACTGGAATGGACTGATAATGTCACCAACACATCCGCTTAGTCTCTTGGATAGGACTTTTGATAGGATCTTATACAAACTTCCTACAAGGCTAATTGGTCGATAGTCTTCTACACTTTCCGGGTTTAAAATCTTCGGAATTAGAGTAATAAAGGCGTGATTTACTCCATGCTCCCACTTCCTACCGAAGTAAAAATCATTAAAAAACTTCAGTACATGCTCCTTTAAATTTGGCCAGCATTTCTTGAAGAAACCCATTGTGAAACCATCCGGACGGGAAGATTAGAACTATCCGAGGTTGCTATAGCTTGCCAAACTTCCTGTTCTGAAAACTGCTCCTCTAGTTTTGTAGACTGGTTCCCTGACAGTTTAGAAAAATCCAAGAATAAGTCCTCCACTTCCATTGAAGAGATGGAATTAAACGTTGTCTTAAAAAAATCATAGATGTGGGTCTTTATCAAAAAACGGGTCTGAAACAACAGTCCCATTAATCTTCAGACTTGTAATCGCATTTCTCCTGCTTCTGTTAAGAGCACACAGGTGGAAAAATCTAGTATTTTTGTCCCCCCTTTAATCCATCTCGTTCTTGCTCTTTGAAACCAAATACTTTCTTCAATCCTGTACAACCTCCAGATATTCGATCTAAACTGCTTCACCTAATCCCACTCCTGAGGAGAAAGATTACTACCTTGGGCCTTCAATTCCAACTCATTAATTTTCCCTTCCAAGGTTACAATAGACTCTAAAATCCCATTAAATTTCCTGCTTGACCAGTTTCTGATTGATTTTTTAGTTCCCTGTAAAATACTGAAGATACCCCTTCTGTTATTCCTCTCCATCAAGTCAACCATTGAAGATTTAACCAAATCCTCAAAGCCTTCTTCCTCTAATAAATAATTATAAAATCTGAAGGGTTTAGGACCCTAATCTACAGACGAATCCTCCAATGACACTGGATTATGATCTGATAGGGACCTCGACAACAGTCTTTGAACTACATTCGGAAGGCAGGACAGAAAGTTTCCAGAAATTAAGAACCTTACAAGTCTGACCCAAGTAGATTCTTCTTTGTTATTGCACCAAGTAAAGGTTAGGTTCCTCCCACCAATGAAAGATCAATTAGATTAGTTTACTGCAAAAAATTCCTAAAAATATCAACAAAATTCCTAAAAATATCAACAAAATACCAGTTTTGAGACCTTCCCATCTTCTCAGCCGGATCAAGATACGTATTAAAATCCCCCCAATACAAAGTGAATTCGATTGAGCAGAAACAAACTCCAACAATTCCCTGTAAAATTCTTCCTTTTCAGATTCAATGGAGGGATCATAAACATTCATAATCACACACTCTTCATCAAGATTCTTAAACTTCCCAAATATTGCAATAATCCTACCACTTAGATAACTGTTGGAGACGTTAAAATCATTATCATTCCACATTACCAGCAGACCTCCTGCAGACCCAACAGCTGGGGGAAAAATGCATCCCTCAAGAAAACTCCCCCCTATCCTTCTCCTAAGAGCCATCGAACAATTTTCTAACTTTGTTTCTTGAATAAGTAGGATACTCGGCTTGTTCTTCTTGACCAAATTAGCTACAACTCTTGATTTTTTCTTCTTTCCCAAACCCCTTATGTTCCACGAAATAATGTTAATGCTCCTCATGAAGATAACAAATACCCAAAAGCCTCTTATTAAATAGGCACAATAACCTAATCCCCTTATTTCAACAATTCCTACTAACCACCAACCCCTCCTCAAGATCAATAATTTTATCTAAAAATGCCTTCTTGCCTTCTTTGAAAGAAATCCCCAGCATCCTATTAACCTCCCACGTAGCCACTGCTTCTTCCAAAAACATCGAAAAAGAGGGAGAAGAAACTGTGGGTAAGCTAGCCATATCCAAAGCTTCCCTAGTCAAAATCCTTCTTTTTCTCCTACTCTCTTTCCCTTTCATTGCTCGAGACTGACAACCTAATCGAGGCACTTCAATGCTCCCTGAATGTTGATCCATGTCCCGTACTGCATTTCGAAGAGAACCACCTTCCTCTTCAATACGAATTATGCCTTCCTCCACTATAATTGGGAATGATTGAGTGCTCAACGTAGGATTGGAAGCTATTCTATTATGGTCCAGCAAGTTAGCTAGTCGCAACAACTCTTCTTCTGTACTCGGATTATACCAAATTTTTCTTTCTTTTGATCTTCTATATACTCTGTTGCAAGTTCCTCTATTCCATCTTCCCACCGAACCACTCCTAATCGAAAAACTTCTCGACAAATGATCCAACGAACTCCAGCTCCTTAGACCATTATGAAACGTTCCCTTAATTAATTCCAGTGGCTGAGTTCCAGCAGTTTGAACTGAAACATCTTCCTTTTCCTCCTCTACTCCTTCCTTATTCCTAACCTCATTGTCCAAGACCATTACATCCTTTAGCACTTCATCATTAGACTTATTCAATTTCCTGTTTAATTGAGGTATAAATCTGTCTTTGGACCCTTCACCAATCCATTTTAGATTATACGCAGGCCTTGAAGGACACAAAATGTTCATATTTGATTCAGAATTCAAACTTTCATACTCTTGGGCTTGAGAGTCTAGGCCCAATTCTTCCCTCAAATCAAGTCCCACGTGATCCCCTGTAGGATATTTCCCTTTTCCACGCAAATCTGACATCCCAAAATTTGAGATATCCTTGTTTGACTTTTTCTGTATAAGCTACTCCCCATCCCCTTTTCCAACCTACTCCTCTGATCCTGATCAAGCCTGTTGTTTACCTTCAGCGTAGAGTCATCAGACAACTTGTGATTTTCAACTTGTTCCAAAGTCAGACGGCGACCACCCTCTTTCTCGGAAAAATCATTATCATTGTACCCGTAATTTAAATTTTCAGCGTCCTTCTCCCCGAAAAACTCCTCCGCTTTTGTAACTACTGATCCCAATATGGTTTTGACTTTGTATGATCTACCGTAAGACCCAATTGTGACCGATTCAGGGACATCAAACGGACTAGCTACCCTGATCAAAACTCTTGCCGACGATAAGTCTGACCTGTTCTTTGAAGAATCTATGATGGCAATGAACTTTCCCCATTTCTAAACAAGTTTCTCCAAGAACTCCCCATTCCAGCATAATAACGGTAATCCCATTAATTCCACAAGACAGAACGCCAATAGAACTCCCTCCTCATTCAGCAATGGCTCCAGCCAGTCAAACCAATAGAACAACTCCTCCTGTTTTCTTGCCCACATATCAGAATACTCTTCAATCGATTTAAATGTTACAACACAGGCATTCCATGCGTAACCCCATCTCGCTATTTTTACCTGAATTCCTTCACTCGCCAAAGCTTTCTGAACAAATTCCTGCTTGAATGAATGCTTGATTACCCCTGTTAAGGACCTTTTCACCCAGTTCGAATCCTCCGAAGGGATATGCAACTCCCAGACATTCCTTAACCCATTAGCAGCCTTCATTAACCTTTGTCCCTCTTCCTTATTAACATTTTCGCTATCCTCTCTATTGGTTGTTTCCACCACCTCCTTGTATGATCTACTATCCCTCAAGTTTCTCGAAGATCCAGCATGATTCTCACCATTTGTTTTCTCCACCCTACTTGGGATTGGCCCTTCCCTCATAGTCCTACCTTCAGTAGCTTCTCTATTCCTGTTGTTCTGATATTTTTCTAACCCTACTGAAACTCTTTTCCCATCAATCCAAGTTCCATTAACAAACTGAATAGCCCTCCTCATCCCTTCCTCGCTTGCAAACTGAACAAACGCGAAAGTATAGTTCTTGTATTTTGGTTTCTGAGTAAAATTTGGAATGAAAATCCTCACAACTTGATCGTAATGCTGAAATATTTCCCTTAATTCTCCTCTTGTTACCCTCTTACTAAGATTGTCAACGAAAATCGTCCATTTCTCCCCCATAGAAGACTGACCTTTCACTATTTCTCTCTCTAAGTTTTTTACTCTCTCACTCGTTATTCAGCAAATATTTGCGGTTCCGATTTTTTAATTTGCGGTTTCATTTCAGTTCGGTTCTGATTTTTTAATTTACAGTTTGATTTTGGTTTGTTTTAAAAAATAATTATACAATTCGGTTTGGTTTCGGTTTCGGTTTTTCATATGTAAACCGAATCAAACCAAATTAAAAATTAAAAGAAATAAGTATCCAAAACAAATTCATTTTGAATTTATTATAAGACAAATTTAAATAAATAAAATCTTAAACTAATAATATTTTTTATGAATTTAAATTTATATATTTGCACTCGATTTAAGCTTTAAATTTTCTTTTTTCGGAGGTTGAGTTTGAAAAATTATCAACAGTCAAAATCCGTAAAACCAAACCGAAAACCGTGAATTTTATGCCACTTAGTTTCGGTTTTGGTTTCAATTTTTAAAAACTTGTAAAGGGTGATTCAGTTCATATTTTAGTGAAAAACATAACCAAATTGTACGGAATACACCCCTACCACATATGTTTGATTAACAAATTTTGCATTGTTTGTGATCTTTATGTTCAAGTCGGGCCTCTTCAATCGTGTAATTAGTTTTAGGTTATATATTTGACACGGCATCAACTAGGGTTCTAAATAAGACGATACAAATCGCGAACAACTCAAAATCGATTTGGTCAAAGTTCAGTCAATATTCGAATTGAATAAACTGAACTCAAATTTTTAACTAGTCAAAGTAAACTATTTGATAATCGAATCGAAAAACTCGTGAGCTACTCGAAAAATAATATATATTAATTTTTTTAATTTTCTAAAGTATATCATTAATATTATAAACATTTATATGTTATTTTTTTAAAAAAATAATATAAGGTTTTCATGTACTTAACGATCAAGTTTGACTTTGAGTCAAGCATGAAAATTTTAAGTTGAGTCGAGCTTCAATTCTTTATTTTGAATTTGAGTCGAGCTTGATAAATTAAGTTGGCGAATTTTTGAGTCGAGCTTAATTTTAAAGTTTCTGAATCGAATCAAACTTAACAATACTCGAATTTAACTCGACTCGTTTACCATCCTAGTATCAACACCCAAGGTTTGCTGTTGTTATCCTACCTAATATCTGTTCTAAGTTCGTCACGCTGACATTCGACTCGGCTGATTAAAACGGTGGGTTTTGGGTTGAATGCTTAACACAGTTTGGTGCCAATTTAAAGTAGTAACACTGCAACTGCTAGCAGCCCTAATCAACTGAAGACAAAAAATATAATTCCAGATAACCTATTTATATTTCCTCCAAAAATATCAAAAGCATAGTTCAAATTTAAAAAAAAAATGCAGCATAAAAGTATGAAATAAAATGGGCTTCTCAGAGTTCAGAAATACCTGGAAGAACAGCTGATTAAAATGGAAACTTCTAAAAATTTCAATCCCAAAAACAAAACAATATCTGATTATTTTGAATAAACTAACCAGAAAGAGAGAGAAACCTGACTTGCTTCTGAGGCGAATCCGGGTTTTCCTTCACACATCTTGCCTTGAGAAATACTTCCAGTTCACTCAACTGCCAAAAAAGTAGGAAATTTTCTATGCATTAAGTAAATGAAACCCAGCAGTTTGAATGGGTTGTGAGTGTTACTCTTTTGGCAGCAGCTGAGGCACCAACAAAGTTTGGGATCCGATGATGAACGGGTCTGGGGTTCTGGGCAATATTCCGCGCCTCCATAAAATCCCAAACCCTTTTACGAATTACCCATTTCCAAGCTATGGGATCATCTTCTGCTTCCGCAGTCGTTTCCCTCATTCTTTTGCAAGTCTGGGCATTCAACAGTGTCAACCTCTCAGCTTCATACGCCGACCCGACCAGTTCGTAGTATTATTAAATTATGATATAACGATTTTTAAAATTATATAACCCTGTCATCGTTAGAAAACGGTACTTTCTAATCATTAAATTATATCTCAAAATATGATTTGATGTCTAAATAAGTTTTAATTTATAATAGGGGTTTAATATTATATTTTAGGTATTTATTTTTTAAATTATTTTCATCTTTTAATAATAAAAATATTATTTTTTAAAAAAATTTAAAAAATAAAATCAACCTCGTCCGATTGTTCCTTTCCCTCCTATCCCCACCTCCAATAACGAAGGGTCATCGTCATTCGAAATTTGTTCAGAGCAATATAAAAAATTCAATAGTAATAGTCGTGTTTTTCACAACGATCGACGTAATTTCATAGTGAACGGAGGATTGAGTTTTGGTTGTGCAGCAAGACGATTCTGATGGTATCAATGGTGATGGCCATAGACCGACGATGATCGATTGGCGGCTGAAGATGTAAATTTGAGTTTTTTATTTTTAAATCATAATATTAAGTTTTTTAAATAAAATAATATTTAAATTTTATGTCTGACACGTGTCAGATCATAGTCGTTATGGTCCAGACACATTAAAGTGTAATATTAAAAACGTTAGACTCCTATTATTAGCAAAAAAATTCTTCAAACACTAAATCGTATTTTGAGGTATAGTTTAGATACTAAAAAATATATTACGCCTAAGAGAATTATATCACAATTTTTATGATTTGAAATTATTATATAAGATTGCAAGTAAAGGATTAAATAATGTATATTGAATTTTTAGGAAGGAAAAAAATGAAAAAACTGAATGAGGAATGAAATGGGCTTTTATATATAATGTTTTTACATACATTTTCCCTCGAAATTAACTGAGAGAAATGAATATATTTTAATTACTTCAGAATTTGAATTATGTTATCGATATATTTTCCAAAATTAAAAGCATGATTATAAAACTGTATCCATCAGAAAATTTGATAATAATTTTAAACCATCCACATAAATAAATATTTGAATTTTTATCACATCTACTCATCGGTAAAAATAATATTTTGAAATTATTAAAGATAATGATATCTTCAAAATTATTTAAGCATATTAAAGAATTTATTGTTTTAAATAAATAATGATGTAATTATTTATTGGCATAAAAAATAAATTAATTATATTTTTATAGTTAATGATATATTTAAAATAAATTAAAAAGTAAAATTAATGGAAAAGTTAAGAATTTGTTTAAGAGAAAAAGTAGTATAAATGATTTTTTAAATTATAATTAATATTTTTTATGATAATAGATTAGAGATAATGTGTATTTTTTTGAAAAATCTTAAAAGATAAAATAATCATATATCTATTAATTTATTAATTAATAATGTGTTTTAATTATAATATCAACTCAATCATATGAGCTATAATAATGTGTTTGAAAAAAAAATATAATATAATCTATTACCTACATTATTTCCCGGATTAGGACGTTTGTTATAGTATAAAGGAGAAGACGCATAGTGTTCCATGTGCCTTCAGAAGATTCCATGCGCCTTAACCCTTGAAGTTTCTAAGATATTCATGTGTCTTCTTCATCAATTGCTCGTGACCCCTTAAAACAACAGCAGGCCTTATACAATAGACCTTTATTGGTACAGAGCATTATTGGTGCAATGAATGGGTTGGTGGGGTGAGAATATATATGGGAGAGATGGCTATGCTTTACACACACCGACTGAAAAAGAAGAAAAGAAAGAGCAATGTTGAAAGAAAAAAAAAAGAAGGTAATTTTTTTGTTTAAATTAATTTGTATTAATTTATTTTTTTGTTTAAATTAATTTAGATTACTTTTTATTTTATCGATTAATATTCAATTTAAAAAATATTTGAATTTCTTTTACAGATTTATTGAAATATGACAACACAAAATCTTCTTTTTGAGACTAGATGATCAATCTATTTTTTCTTATTTGAGAACGCTAGTATTAGTATTTAATACTATATTTTATTTGAGAATGAATTATTAAATATCAAAAGTATATTTTATGATTAATTTCATGAGTTAATTAATTGTAGGAAGACGAGCAATGACACATCCGTAATCGACTCAATATTTGTGATAAGTTATACTATCGTATTATCCATACTTTGCAAGTGGCAAGATTCTACGATGTAACATTTCTTCGAGAGTATAAGTTGATCCTCAGTTTAACTAGTGCGTTGATTAAACAGTGCAGACCAGGAACACATATATTTCATCTATAATGTGGAGAATGCACGGTCACTCTCGAGGATGTGACCCTACAACTCGGTGTCCCGGTAAATGGGATAGTAGTGGTGAGGAAAATGAAAAGGATGTGATTTTAATTTGTAAGATGTACCTCGAGAAGACGCCACCACCAACAATTTTACAAGGGTCTTGTTTGAGGCTATCATGGTTGGAGAATGAATTTAAGTTTGATCATTATAGTATTGAACAAGAAGTTTTATATACAACTCGAGCATATTTACCAACTGATTGATAAGTTTTGATGTCGGATAAATTGATAGTATAATTTACACACAATATATCTTATTTTTAAAATTGTTTTCGAACCATTAAATATTGAGGATCGATGATATTGCATTCTTGTACTGCGAGATATGCAAGGCATCATTAATCATAAAAAATATAGTTACAGTGGAAATCGATGGATGTCTGATGTTACGTAGTCGTGGGCTTGGCACAGACTTTCATTTTTAACACTAGTTAGTCGAACTATAGTTTATTGTCCTATTGTCGAAAGATAATATTTTGATTTAAAATATTAGTTAGAATTTATTTATATTCTTGAATATGAAAAAAATTATCGAATATTATTTTATTTAGTATACAGATGGAGATAAAAAAGATAAGAAACAGGGTTGGAGCATAATGAAGTAAAGGAGTTTAGAATGAAGATAGACATTAAAAGAAAAAAGACATATAATATTGATTAAATTTTAGCTTATTATATTATTATTTTAGTTAAATTTTATATTTATTTATTTATTTATATTGATATAATTTTATTTTACTATTTATTTAGAGATCATATGAATATGGATAAATAATATTGTTTATGTCGTCAGATGTGCAACATATTTGAGAGGGTTATGAATATTGGGGTGTTGTTACATCGTTGATCCATTTTACTTTTGTTGAGTTCTAATGGACCGATAGAGTGTTGAGGCAGTTCGTATTCTATCAGCCTATTTTGCGAATTCCAAACAATCATGATGGTCTCCACATATTAGATGGATATGGTAGGCATGTTAAGGATTGGGTTACAAAACATGCCTACTATATCAATCTTTATAACAACAAAACATCTTTGATGCCGACTCTTACTCTCATTCAAGGTGATGACTTCAATTTTCAAAATTCAACTTACCTTATATTAGGATAATGAAAATTCATACATGACAACAACCATGGAAATGAGAACATTTAAACAATATCAGATAAAAAAAATTTAAAGATGAAAAATTGGACCAAGTGGGAGTGTGAATTCATCTTAACTTGAAGTGGAAACAATACCAATGGATAATAGCTTATCACAACCTTCAAGTGAAATGAGATTAGAATGGCCTACATAGGACAAAATAAATCCAAGATTGAGTTCAGTCACATGGTAAAGAGGTAATACGATAGTGTGCAGCGACTCATCAATTCATCAAGCGTTTGATGATTCCATTGTTACTTCGTACATGCCCGAGTTTATTCCACCTCAATCACTCATCTACTCTCTCATGTTTGGATCGAAATTTGATTTTGACATGACATTTATAATGTCAAATACAACTATTTGTCATCCTATGTTTCCATCGGAGATGAAAGAGTAGAGTGATGGACATATATTTACATCACTAGAGCATATGCCCTTTTGGAATGAGGAGGTTGATTATGATTAACATACTTATGAGAAATTGCAAAGGCCAAATGAAATCAATGTGCGCTTCAATATTATCATTCAATAACACCCCAACATTATTAAGAATTATAAACGTTTCTTTGATTTTTGTACAAAAATTAATATTAAATAAAATTTTCTTCAAATGATGATTTATAATTTAAATTGATAAATTTTAACTTAAAAATAAGATTAAAGTAAATTATGTTGGTTTAAAATTATTAAATGATCAAGTTCAAATTATAAGTTTACCAACATTGAAATGTTTATTTGAATACAAATGGGGTCATTTAAATAGAAATAAAGCTTACAAACATTCATTTAAATACAAATAGGGTTTACAAATATTCATTCAATTATGGATATCTATCACATTCATTCAAAAAATAAATAGGTAAAACAAAACATTAATTCAAATACAAATACAAATACAAATAGGCAAGACACTTAAATATATGTTCAAATAAAAATATGATGCTAAAGTAGGAAAATGTATAAAGACATAGGAATATTTATTTAACATGCTAAAGTTGGCATCATGGTGTGGCTGAGGGTTCTGAATCTCGGGAGCTCACACACCCTTCTAGTCTTCTTATATACCTTTGGGTATCTGGGGTGAGATCCATAACTGAATCGAAAACATCCACCTGGCCAACCTACTCCGTCGAGTCTTGGGGCATCTACGCCTAGTTGGCGGCTAATTGCTTTGGCACCGACTAGGATATCCGAACTATACGATCGTATCTGCTAGATAACTTGGGTGTCTTGAATGTGTCCCAAGCATCAAACAAGGTTAATTTTATTTCATCCTAGTTATTTTTTTTAACTATTCTAAGTTTATTTTTGTTCTCACTTGTATTTTTATTTTTTGACGTTATTGTAACACCTCGACCCATACCAGACCCGGATACAAATCTGAGGTGTCACTTTGACTTTTTAACGCTTTGACTCTTTGAAAATCCGACTAAAATTTGACAATGAAAAAATACTGAGTATTTTTACATATCTTTAATAAAACATAGTT